CCTGCCCAGGGCAGCGGGGGACCCTCCTCCTGTGACTGCCCTGCTCAAACCCTACAGGTTCTGGTGGCAGTGGGCCCGACGCCCCCGACGCCCTGTCCGGGCCCCATCTGCAGTCTCATCTCTGGCCACCTGGCCGGTGGCCCATTCCACCAACAGGCTGCAGGCAGGCCTGGACACACCCCCTCTCTGCTCATGTACTCCCCCCCCGCCCCCCCGAAAGGCCAGCTGGCAAAGAGCTTCTATACACTCTTCAAAGCCCATTTCAAATGACCCCGCATTTTCACAGGACTCGGGACTCTATCCCCCTCAGTCAGGTGGCAACATGTGCTCCATTCCTTGGGGCCTGAAACCCGACAGGACTGAGTCCACACAGCAAAGGGGGGCTTATTCTGTGAGTGGCCTTCGAGGCTGCAGCTCAGGGCAGACACACACATCCCCAGGTTTACACCCACCAAGGGGCAGGGTCCCTCCCCTGAAGTCCCACAGACCAGGCCCCACATCCGTCCCTCCCAGGAGGTCCCTTTCTTCCTCATGGGCCGGCACGGTGCCCGGCACGCCCGAGATGGGCCAGGCGTGGGCCCACGCAGGCTTCCAGTCCATGGCGCTGACCACGCTGGGCGCAGTGGCCGCCTGCCCAGCCGGGCGCCACCCTGTGACCCGCTCCTCAACCTGGAGATGCCCTCAGCAGGAGGGACAGGAAGGTCCCGGGCCCTCCCCCAGGACCAGCAGGGCACGTCCTGCGTTGTTTACATGTTTACTGCCTTCAGGGCGGCACAGGATCTGTCGGAAATGCCTGACCTCAGCCCGGGGCAGACTCAGCAGAACATGACAGGCCTTTCCCGGGGCCGTCACCCCCTGAACAGAGGAAGGCGACTGCCTGCGGCCAGGCCCAGGAAGGGCTGTGCCGGGACGGACGGCGCTCCTCAGGGTGGGTCCTTCCCTTGGCCGGTGGGCAGCCCACCCCCCGGAGGAAGGCGGGGCCCATTTCTGAAATGCCACCTCTGAGCTTCTGTGTCCGAGCCCCCCGTGCCCAGGGCAGCCGTGGCTGGGCTGTCTGGTCACTCAGGGCCCATCTGCAGATCTGTCTGCCCGCTCCCTTGTCTGCCCGGCGGGGCTGGCGTCACAGGGAGGTGATTTTGTGGCTGTGCTCTAAGGGCCAGCAATTGTGCTGATGAAAACTCGCATTCGGGGAACATGTCCCCCGAAACTGTGCTGCCTCACCTGGTACTAGGACCTGCACCACCGCGCCGGGCCCTGGCAGGGTCACCACACGGCCTCGGAGGGGTCGGGGACAAGTGCAGACACAGCCCGTGTCACCCGCAGCGCCCTGCCTGCCTGGTGTTCACTCAGCAAGGGGACCCAGGGCTTCCCAACCACAGGACTTGGTCCGAGACAGAGCAGGGGAGCTGGGACGGGGCCTCGGGTGTGCTGCTGAAGAGAAGCGGGCTTCCCAGTGGGCAGAGGGCGGGTCAGGGATAGGAGGGCACCCCTGGTGACCCACGAATGACTTCAGCAAGAGCTCTGCCCAGAACAATAAAAGGAAGAGGGGTCTCAGGAAGCCCCCAGTGAGCAGGCCTCAGAGGGGACCCGGGACCTCCGACCTCCCCCCACCAGCACCCGGGAGGTTCCACTCAGGACTTCCAGACCCAAGCCAATGGCCCACAGAGAAGGGGTTCAAAACACACAGCACCCCCGCCTCCCACGGCCTCGGTGACACGCCCCCTCTACAGCGACCCAACCTCACGGGCCTCACGGAAGTGAAACTCCAGCAGCTGGCCACACGCACATCCATCCTCGTGACCCCACGAGCTCTGAGGGCACACAGCTGCCCCACATCGCTGTCCGAGCACCCCGGGGCCCTGGAGCGGCGGAAAGGGCCTCCTCTTAGCCCGGCTATGGGTCCTCACTTGCTGGGCTCTTGGTTTTCCAGAAGGTTCCTCTCTCTCTACACACGCACATATGTCAGTGCTCAGAAAGCCGGACACCTAAACCAGGCAGAGCCACACACACCCACACACACACAGCGCACGCAGTCACACGCATGTGCTGTCATGAGAACACGCTACAATGTGACAGGATTTGAACCAAACACAGATGCCTCTTTAACCTAATCGGGGCGTCTGTCAAGGAGGCTCCCTAATTTGGGGTCACCGGGTTCCCTTGTGAACACCCCCAAAGTCTCTGACCAGGCAGGGCCACAGCCCGTCGCAAAGGGCGAGAGGCAGGAGGCAGGTGTAAATCCTCGTCCCTGAGGGACTCCGGACAGCTGACCCGTCTCTGGTGACACAACCCAAAATCTTCCTAAGTGAGTCCTGCAGGCTACGGCGTTTTCCGGCCCAGAATGCAGCCTGAGGTGACAGTGGGACAGGCTGCCTATCCCTGCCCTCCCCCACCAGGCTGGGAGGTGCTGTCCCTGTGGGGCTGGTGCTCGCGGGGCTCTGGGGAGGAATGTGAGGGGTGCGGGGTCCTGGTGAGCGCTTCCAGGGGGAAACCACCAACTCTGCACGCCGGCCGCTGTGCATTTCCTGAAGTCATCCCCGTCCCCAGCCATGGCCCAGCTACCGCCCTGTCCCTTCAGGGACGAACACAGGCCTGAGCTGTGGATTCTGGGTCCCGTCCGCCATGCCCGACCTGTGTCAGGTCCAGGCTGACAGATTCTCCAACCCCAGACCAGAGTGCATTCTGATAAGACGGTGCGGCTTTGGCGATGCCCCACTGACCAGGGACGCAGAGCTGAAAAGCTTCATCTGGAGACCAGCTCTGACACCATCATGCATGCACGCTGACATCTCCCTTCAGTTCTGGGACTGTCCCAGCACCATGCCTGCAGAGCTACTGTCATTTGGGCTCAAGTGGCCTCAAGGGCCGCTGCAGCGTGTGCAGGATGGCAGAGATGTGGACTCCATGTGCTGTCACCACACCCCAGGGTCCCCCGCCTCCCACAGTAGAGCAAACACCCACCGGCAGCAGGTCACTGAAATGTCTCCACTCTGAGATTCGAGAACAGCCCACTAGAGGGGGTGACATGAGCTGATAAATGCATTTAGAGAAACAAAGACTGCTCTAAATCAAAAGCAAGCACACAAGACGTGGCGTTCACCACAGTCGGGACATGGCCACCTGCGTGGGNGATAGAATGCTGACACACCAGGGCCGTCAGGCTCCCTGCAAAACGCAGCAGCAGACGAGCGTTAGGACGCTGTCACTCGCCGGTGTCCCCTGAAGGCAGCTGCTGCAGGGTGAGCCCTGACGTGGCAGCTAGCACGCTGTCGCTGGGCCTTCCCCTCGTGCAACGCTGCCGTGAAGCCACAGCTCAGCGAGACAGTGAGGGGTCGGGCCAGGGAGCTGAGATGGCTCCAAGACACACATCCTCACACTTTATAAGAAAAATTAGTCTGCTGGCTCAGTGCCAGGCTGTACGGCCATGCTGTCTGTCAGGGGCTTTATGGGGCTATGAGAAAGTGACACTCTGGTGTGCACACGCCTCTCTGCCCAGGAGCTCAGGAAGTGTCCCCACAGCCGGCCAGGGTGGGATGGCCCCATCTGGTAGGGAGGACGGATGCTGCTGGGGCGTCCTGTGCCCTGGAGGGCCGCCTGCTCCAGCCTCGCCCCTCTCATCGGCCCGCCCCATCCCAGGCGCAGCTCCCTGCCTGTCGTTTGTTCCGTGTGGGGAAGCTTTTACAGTGATTCAGGTGAGAGGAATCTCAGAACTGGGGACGAGAAGTAAATGTGGGTGAAGGACTCCGAGTGACGGCCCACCCAGGGCCACAGGCAGAGGGGCTGCAGGCCCGTGTCCAGTACGCGCCCCCGGCCACTCACCAAAGTACGGCTCATTCGAGCAGCCTTTCAACCGCACACCCTTCGGGGTGCACTCGATGAGGAAGTGCCGGACCAGCTCATTGGCCAAGTCTCCAGCTGTGGCGAGAGATTTAAAACAAAGAAAGAATTTTTAGAAACGAGAGCACGGCGGTTACAGGGTGGTCAGGAGCTGCCCTGGAGGAGGCCCGTGTGACCTGCAGGCCCCTGTGGCCACTGAGTGCGTGGGCNGGGAGGGGCGGCTGCCCGGGCAGAGGCAGGCCCTGTCCCTGCAGGACGGGACTGTGGTGGCCGCCGTGTCCAGGCGCCACCGTGAGAAAGCTGTGGGGCAGGAAGCCATTGTCGGCAGCTGCTGCTGCTGTCCGCGGGGCGCCGGGGGGCTGGGACACTCCGTGGGAATTGGCCAGCAGGGCCCCGGGATCCTCCCTGGGGGACAGGCCCAGGAAGGCCTGGCTGCTCGGGGGGCCTAGGGCTTCCGCTGCTTCCACCAGGGACAGCTCACGGCTGTGGAAAGAGGCCGGCAGCTCGGCCGCCGGGAGATGTGGCCGCCCGGGGCCGGGGCCGTCCTTGCCGGGGCCCGGGAACTCGCTGGCGCTGAGGAGGCTTCCTGGGGGTGGGCTGCGCCCCAGCAGAGCCCGCGTGGCTTTGGGGCTAGTGTCCACCCACTGGTGCTCGGCGGAGCGGGGGCTGTTCAGGGGACAAATCAACCATCAGAGAGGGTCCCGGTGGATGGAAAGGCCGAAAAATTAGCCACAGACAGCATGTGAGCGGGCCACGGCCACGGCCACGGCCGGCCCGAGAGCAGCCCCTAGTGGGCGCAGTGCTCATGAACTCTCAGCCGCCCCCCAGTGCCCCCTCAGCTGCCCTTGCTCTCCACCTGGACAAAGCCCTCCCAGTCTTTCACACAAAGCTCCATGTGCCACCAACCTGGAGCTGCCGAGGCCCGTGCCCAGCGCCGAGCCGGCATCTGTGCGCAGGGGGACTGGCGCTGACCCTCCCCCTGGCCCCCCACACCGGGCACAGGTCAACCACGCCGTCATCACCTGGCTTACTGTCTGCTTCTCGAAGGGCCTGTGTGCCCCAGATAAATCTCTGTCCCCCATTTTCTCCTTCTTCCTCTGCTGCCTAATGCGGGCGCCAGGCCATCAGTGTTCAACAAGGGCTCACTGGACGGACCAGCTGACNTTCATAAAATCTCCAAAGAAAAGCGAGTTGGCTACAGGAAGAAGGCGGAGGCCTGGTGGAAGCATTTTACAATTTGTCAAGCTTTGAAGAGCAACAACTTAGAAAAAGAAAGGCAAAAATGAAGCATCACCTCCAAGTAACCCCAAGTCATCCGTACCCCGCCCCCAGTGAGACTTTCCTGGATTCGCCTCGCTTCCTCCTCTGGCGAATGTCACCGTTTTGCCCTTTGAAGCGGCCGCGAGGGCCCCAGCTCTGCAGCACTGCCAGCTCCGAGGGCAGGGAGTTTGCAGGGTGTTTGTAGACGGTTCTCATTAGGTTGAGGAAGTGACCCTCTGTTCTGTTTTGCTGGGAGGTGGTGGTCATGAATGGGTGTGAATTTTGACAAATACTTGTTTGCATCTATGACATAACCATGAAAGTTTCTCTGCTAGCACGTTCCTAGGGTGCTGCATGGACGGATGTTCAACAGTCACACCAGGGCGGCATCCCTGGAATAAATCCCTCTTGGTCGCGATGCATAACTCTGCTCGCATGTTACTGACTGTCATTTGCTTATGTTTTTTCAGGTATTTTTGTTTGTGTCTGTTCCTAAGGGATAAATGTTTAGTTTTGGGGTTGTTTCTGTCGTTCTTTGGTTTTGGTTATCAGGACAACATCAGCTTCATAAAACGAACTGGGCTGTTCTCTCCTCTTCTATTGTCTGGAAGGGACCATGTAGAATTCGTATTCCCTGGTCTGTGAGCGTCTGCAGAATTCTCCAGGGAGGTCGTCTGGCCATACCCACCCACCTGGTGAAGGACATCTGGGCTGTTTCCAGCTTGGGGCCGTTAGAAGCAAATCTGCGACGCATGTGTGTGAGCCCATACGCGCCTCCCTCTACCGTCACCATGTTCCCACTGAGCCTGCCCTGGTGTCGAGGGACCTGAGGCTCCGTGTCACAGGGCTGGTTCCCGGCCAAACCCACTAAGCGCATTCAGATTAGCCCTCATTCATGGCCGGCTGGGCGGGGGTGGGGGCGCAGATGGAGGCCACGTCCCTTTGCTTGCTCCCATCTGAATTATTAAAATACAGAAGAACAGACACATGGCTACGTCTGCTGAGTCTGTGCGCTAACACGCAGGGGAACAGACACGCCTTCTCAGGCACCGATCACGTAACACACGAGCACACGCAGTGACACCGCACACTGCTCTCTCACCCCCCGTTTCCGTCACACCTGCTCAGAAAGGGGGGCAGTTTGATGCTCTGTGTATAAAGACAAGCACCTCTGGTCCTAAAAACACAAAGGAAACTGTGCGAGAAAGACAGCCTTTCTGTTAAAAGATGCTCGTCTCTGGTTTTCCCTGGGGGAAGACGGGAAACGGAGCTCGCGGTCACCACCATCACCAGTCCTGGGCAGGCAGCAGGGTTTAGCCGTGTCAGCACCCCACCCCAGGGCTGAGCCTCATGAGCATTAGTGGGCAGAAAAGCAGCAGCCTAAAGAACCTACAATTACAGAGAGGAGTGGTGTTTAAAGCACGGGGCTTTAGCTGCGTCCCCTCTCCATCTGCCGAAGGTCACGCCATCCTGGACTCTCGGGGCAAGTGGAGGATGCCCCCCAGGAAGGGTGCCAAACACCACCACCAGCCACCCGGCTATGCCACCCCCGCAGGCAGTGCATCTCAGACACGGTGCCCAGGATGGAAAGTGTCCGAGGATTCAACAGACCTGCCCCGGAAGTCATCACTCCCCTGGGGAGACAAAGACAGTGACCATAATCGAGGACGTGAGGAGCCAGGACAGGTCCGTGGGCGCGGGCAGTGGGCGCCCCCTTCCCTATGAAGGGTGGGGCCGTCCCAGTTTCATCTTTTGACTTCAAGTCGTACCTCACGGGGCCGAAAAACACTGATGCTGAGCTGCTGGGACCACCGTGCCCCCACCCACAAATGCCTGCCCAGCAGACACAGGGCACTTCTTGGTGACGACCTAGAGGGCTGTCCCTGCAGCTTCCTGGGTGACAGCCACCCTCACTCGTGCGGCTGGGATGTGACAGACACAGACAGTGTCTACACGGCGGACGCCGGAGCAGAGGGGCACAGCGGGTGACTTACCATGAGCTGCTTTGTACAGACCGCTGGCGCCGCCCATCTGCGGCTCAGGCGGGCTGAACGGAGGGTAGTGTGGGGACGTTGTCACTGGAAAAGAAAGCAGAGCGACAGCTGCTCCAGTCCCTTCCCTGAAGGAAGGTGGGGACGGTCACAGCGAGGTTGGCTTCTTCCTTACCATACGGTGTTTGTGGAGACACGGGGAACGCTGGCGTGGGCAACAAGGACTCACTGCCGCTCTTGGTTGGAGAGAACATCCTGCCATCAACCCTGTCGAGGTCTGAGGGGTACACGGCAATCACCATCTGAAAGAGGCCCGGGGGGCGGTGAAGGTGAAGGCCGCCGTAGATGGTGGGGGCCCCTGCTGGCCCCCTGAGTCAGCCCGTGTCTGAGCATGGGGACAGGAGGCACGGGAGCCAGCCCTGCTCCCAGCCAGGGACAGCTGGAGAAAGTGTCACACCAGCTCACAGGTGCAGCAGGCAGAGCGCGTGCGAGCATGGCGAGTGCACATTTCCTGAATCAGGGAGAACAGCAGGGAGAACCACTGTTTCCGATCGATGCTACGGTCATGGGGACGTAAAATACGCCGCAGATCAGACATGCAGGCGTCACTAGGAAGCGGGACGGATGAATCCCAAAGGTCCGCACTGGGCCGCTTGTATGCTAAGGGCGCGAGTGCCTGTTCTTGTCTATTCCAGGTCTAACTTTCTGCCTTGAGAATAAATAAAGTCTTAATTTGAAAAGACTCCTCATTTTGGGGTTCCCCAGCCTGTCTACTCAGTCTGGTTAAAAGCCTTGGGGCCGGCCGAGTGGCGCAATGGTTAAGAACTGGCTTGGGACGCCAGAGGGCCCCGGTTCGGATCCCACATATGAGGGCCAGTGACACTGCCCTCTACAGCTAAGATGCTGAACAACAGCTCAACCTGGAGCTGGGCTGCCGTGAGTCCCTGGTGATGGCATAGGCTGCAGCCCCTGTGGCAGTCGGTTGCCATGGGCTACCGTGTGTAGCCAGCAGCCGCAGTGAGCAGCCGTCCAGAAGCCGGCGACTGATCTGCCTCGCCCAGGAAGAGCGCAATGATGGTGCCAACTTGGGCCAGTGAAGCAACGTCCTCCACAACTAGACTGAAGAACAAAAGGACAGCAACTTGTCTGTTCCCCTTCCCCCAATTCCCCAGCGCTGTTCCCATCCCCCAATTCCCCAATAAAAATCTTTAAGAAAAATAAAAAAGCCTTAACTACGCCTCCTGGAAGATGCTCTGCAATGTCCCCACAGGGTCACTTGTCCATGCCGTCCCGCCTGCTTCCCTCGGGGACCCCAGCGGTCTGGGCAGGAAGTCTGTCTGCCCTTCGCTGCTGGCGTCCGCCCACTGAGCCCCTGCGGCCTCTGATCTCACTGCCCACCGCAGGCTGCATGCTCATCCCCGCGCACGCCTGCCTCGGGGAGGAACCGTGTCTATGAGACGGGGCGGCGCGGTCAGGGGCCCTCGATTCGGGGCAGGGCTGTGGTCAGGCCCCAGGGTGGCGGCCGTACCTCTTTGGCATCTGCCGGAGAGAGGAGAGCTGCGAGGCTCGGGGCCTGCTCGGCGCCGGCGGTCTTCCCCCACCCACATTTGGAGAAGGCCGGCTGCCCCGCAGCATGGTTGTCATACTGCCCAAGGCTCAGCTTCCGGAACCTTCTGCCCAGCGGCTCGTCGTCTGAGGACCCTGTGAAGAGAGACACGCGTGGGCTGCAGGCACCTCCATCCCAGTGGGGCCCCAACTCTGAAATTTCTGAGTCGCTTTATTTCCGGTGCCATAACATTCTCTTCACCCCAAAAGGACCCCGCCCCACGAGAAGCCACTCCCCACCCCTCCCCAGTCCCTGGCACCCACCACCCCACTTTCTGCCTCTGCATTTGCGCGCTCTGGACACTTCCTGTGGGTGGGACCGTATGACACGAGTCCTCTGTTTCTCTCACTCGCATCACGTTTTCTCGGCGCGTCCCGTTCCTGCCTGAACTGACCTCTGCTTATTTCCTGTGTCTCCCAGGCTCAGCTTCAGGAAGGGTTCCGTCCGCCAGGCTCCCCGGTGCCTGCAGCCCTGCCTGCGCACAGTAGGTGCTCAGGAAACACCGGGGAGGACACTGACCCAGGGTGGACATCCTCTGCAACCTCGCAGAGGGTGCAGCAAAGAAACTTGGTGGCTACGCGTGAAAGAGACCAGGGTGGCCTCTGGTGGCCGCGGGCACCTGGGACTTGATCACCTGAGACCTGTCACCACCCCTTGTCCATCTTCCCCTCTCAGGGCATCAGTGGTCAGCTCTGGGGCCAGATGCTCATTTTGCTTTATGACACCAAGGAGGTGACAATGTCCCAGACACAGGATCTTCCCGAGTCACTAACGTGTCCCCAGCCCCACCTGCTTCTGTTCTGTGTGCACGGTTAAGAAACAGTGTTTGGTCCCGAATGACACACGGCCGCATGCCACCGTGTGGGGCGAGTGGCCGTGTCCCTGAGACCTGCCCCCTGGGGGAGGCGACCCGGACACAGGCGTCGGTGGGCCCTGACCTCACAACCATGGGTGCTGCCGGCGTGCAGGTGACTAATGATTAACATGGATGATGGAGGGACCTGGCTGAGAGGAGTGGCACTTCCTCTGGGCACGTGCAGTGGGGCAGCTGACACGCGCTCCCCAGATCCTGGCACCAGCACGTGGACACTGCGGGAGCGTGCCTTCCTGCTGTGAGTGAACGCGTGGGGTCCACTGGGGAACTCGGCTGCCGGTGCTTCCCAGCGCGAGGGAGACGAGCACCTGGGAAAGGCGCGTTCCAAAGCGCGTCCCGTCTGAGACCCGCGGACCTGGGGTGGAGCTGCGCGTGAGGCCAGCATGGGGCAGGTGTGTAATTTGTACAGAGTACTGCAATTTTAGTTCTAAGAATTAAGAAAACATACTGAGGTCC